CACCTAATGGTTGAGCCATGTTACTTACCAGGTTGATAAGGGTTTGTGGGCGGATACTATCTATCCCCAAAATGAATTCCTTTTCAAACTTTGCAGCTTCGATGCCATGATTTCTGGGGGGAAAATCAATTATGGTAAGCGTTGGGTATTATATATCCTCGGATAACAAATGTAGTCGTAGTCCAGTGTTCGCATGTGCTGTGAACACTTGAGCGTACTGACCTGTTAGCATTTTTTCTGCCTCCTATGTTGTGATCGAAACAAGTTCTGCCAATCTTAGCGCTAGAAAGCCAGACTTGACTTTTACAGTGGCATTTATGTGTTTGTATAATAACTTGGGATTTGATATAAATTGCGCATCAGCATTTCTTGGTACATCTCCGTGTCTTCTCACGTCAACTTTGCGCAGTGGTTTCGAAGCATACAGTAGGTATACCGTGTGTTGTTGCAAGGAAATCGGTTATGAGATATTCCTCTGCCAAATCCACTTCTTTGTTCGTCTTCGAATCACTGATATTTGGCCAGTTGAGTAGGTAATGTGTTTGGTCTTGATAACGCCCTTCACCATTTCCCACAGGTGATTCGTATGTTCTTCCCAGGATACCAAAGGATCGTATTGTTCGTTGGGAAATTTCCATTGGAAACCCCTCGCCAAAATCTTGAATTTGGTGTAGTCAGCAAACATCCAGGGTATAACCGTAGAAATATGCGATACGGATTCATTGTAAATGCAGCCAAACGTCAACTCAGCATGATCACCACGCCTTAATGGAGTTGCAGCGGAAACCGTTCCCATCACCAGTTTCTCGATAGCTGGCGCCAAGTCCAAAACCGACGATGACTGGGTGGCTCCATACATAGTCAGCTTCCTCACAAACTTGAAGAGTGGATAGGATTACTTCATCTGAGCTAGTTTCCTCTCAAGCGGTTGTAGAGAGTTGTGGTGATCCAGGCCTACACGATGGCGCCTACCCTGGAGCGGCGCATTACAGTTTCAGGACATTGGCGATCAATCAAGTTTGAATGATGACGTCAATGACACGTGCATGGCTTCTGAATACACGTCATTGGTGGATGGTGCCAGCCAATCCAAGACAGTGCAGACAGAAGCAAGATTATGCAAGCAGTACTGCAATCCCATTGGTGGAAGCCCAGATAGCCAATAATCTCCCGTTGTACATATTATTTAATCACCTTCATTTCTTTCANAATCCGTGCCATTGTGGTCCATTGCTTCTGCGATCCAGTCCGTGATAGCTGATTACCGATTCGGGTCCTGTAATTCATATTGCGTGGTTGGTGTTCCGAATTCCGTGCCAACTACTACTGCTAATACAATCACTACAAATTGGCGTCGCGTGATGGAGCTCCCAACGATTGAGCAACTGAACCTGCAAGCAAATCCATCCGAGATCGAGGAATGGGTCGAACGATTCGAGCTGTGGTGCAGCATTCGCAAAGGTGGCACACAGAATCAGTCAGCTCTATTTGTTACTGCTGATGGCCGTGACCTGTAATCCCTGTTGAGAAACCTGGCGTTCCCTGAAGCTCCAGTCAAACTACCATACGAGTCCTTGAAATCGCTCCTGCTCAACCACCTGCTGCCTACTGAATTCCAAGCACATGAAAGGGCCAGATAAAACTCCATGATTCGTGCCGATCATGTTTCCTGCCGTGAATTCATCTTTCAGCTGAACAAACAAGCATCACGCTGCAACTATGGTGATCGCCTGGAAGAACAAATGTGTGACCGCTTGGTGGCAGGCATCAATAATCTGACGCTTCAACGGAAGTTGCTGGAGAAGAAAGATTTAACTTTTGCCGATACCCGCGAGATCTGTGAACAACACGACGACCTGATGAAGGCCACTTCCAGCGAATCAGTCACATTATTCCAACGGCAGAAGACCCAACCAAACCGACCTCCATTGCCCTAGTGTGTACCGAAGCCGGAACACGACTCTTCAGGCAACAAGAAACGTATCAGTCCGTGTTTGTCATGTGGAGCTCACAATCTGCGCTCCAACTGCCGCTTCTAAAATGCCAAGTGTCATACATGCGGGAAAACTGGCCACATTCGGAGAGTGTGTAAACAGCCCCATTGCAATCTCTCACAGTCTTCGGTCGACGAGGAAAACAGCCCTGTGCTTTCCCTACGAACCCAAAGTCAATGCGCCCAGTACCTATACCAAGATGTGACATTCCAGTCGGGTACGAAGCATAATTTCATTGTGGATACCGGAAGTGCGGAATCTATCTGTTGTGTACTTACTGTTGCTGAAACTGCTATCGCACCACCAACTTCCAAGCCGAAGAACAGAACACAATTAAAATGGCACAGGACAGTATATTAGAGAAAAAAGTCTTCCTTTTTTGTGTCGTCCTTACGCGGTAGCATTCGTTCTGTTTTATTGCGTCCGGTGCGTTTTGAACGTTGGATATCAATTGAACAATCAGAGTCGCCGAACCGCCCGGTTGATTACGCTGTCTGACCAATCAAAAAACATTGTATCGTCCGTGGTGAAATACAGTAATCGATCATTTCGGGCCGGAGGCTCACCCGGCTGCGGCTTTTTTCTTTTGGCTGTTCTCGCCAAACATATGACTTTTTCAACTGGATTTTTTTTTTTAATTTAACCTTCCTGACACCTCTCCCTTTTGGGTGATTAGTGCAAGACTTCCGTCTTGGATCAACTTGAAATGGCGTAACCTGCTTTCTAATACGATCGGTCCGCCATCTTGGCTGCATTGTAGCGTCACTGACTGTCGGCTTGGGTGGAATGTCAGCTACAGATGGGGATGTCTTCAAATCAAAAGTTTCCAGTAGCAGGTCAAAGTTTAGTGAGCTCCCTCGATTTATGGGGACTGGACACTGTGTTCGACGCAGTTGGTTGATGTGCCGTCTCCAAAGCGAAGTACCCACTTGGACATTGTAGATCACCCGACCAATTCTTTTTTGGGTGTGTCCGACGGTCCAGTTCGCGTGACCAGGGCGGTAATCTCTGACGAGCACCTACTGGTTGGAATACTGCTACATATTTTGACTCAGTGTATGGGTTGGTGTTACTTGATCGAAGGGCGTCGTGCGTTAAGCTCAATGGCCTGTTCATCAAGACTTCTGCGGGAAAACGGTGGTCCGGGCACTGTGGATTCGGTGTAGCCCGGTAATTCAACAAGGACGTGTCCAAAATTTCTTCCGTTGTCCCTTCCCCCTTGAACTTGGTCAGTGCACGTTTGAAGGTATTGACGAATCTTTCCGCTTGTCCGTTTGACTGCGGGTGAAACGGAGGGGAGGTAATCTGTGTGATACCCTGTTTTCTGATGAATTCGGAGAATTGCTGTGATGTGAACTGACTGCCATTATCGGACACAAGCGTCTCCGGAACACCGAAAGTGGAAAACAAATGGTGTAACTTTGAAATTGTTGCCGTTGTGGTAGTATCACGCATGACGAAAATCTCTGGCCATTGAGAATCCGTGCCATTGTGGTCCAGTGCTTCTGAGAACCAGTCCGTGATAGCTGATTATTGATTCGGGTCCTGTGGTTCATATTGCGTGGTTGGTGTCCCGAATTCCGTGCGTATTACTACTACTACTACTACTATTACAGTCATTACAAGAGGTCACTGATTTCGCCCAGTTTGGGCAGCTGAAGTCGCTCATAATGAAAACATGCGTGAACTGCAGTGACAGAATGTGTCACATGGTTTGCGATGGCATGTCAGTGGCTGAATCTGTGGATGAAGGAAAGGGATACACCACACGGATCAAGCCGCTATCGTGTTTCGACAGACGCACTTTGCACCACAGTGAATCAGAGGCTGCAGCAGAATAATCAAGTACCTCGCTTGTAGTTTGCTGCCAAAGTAGAGTAACACACCACCACCACTCGTCCGTCAATCGCGTCTGAGCAGAGTCATGCCGGGTAAGCGTGACTCTTAGTACAGAATGGCAGTTTTCGGTGAAGTTTCGTTAACTACAATAACGTCCCTTTGAATAGTTTGGCAATGCAGTTCCACTTCTGAAAATTTGCTGAGGAAANCGCATCTTGGTCGGTCAAGGGAAGTCTTTTCTTCCCACCACTCCAATGCTTGCTGAAGCCAATCAGATTATTCTCTGCCTCTTCATCGATATGAACAATTAACTATTCATGCAATCGTGCACAATGGTCTCTGTATCCCTCTGTGTGTAACATTCATGAACGCTTGTGGCTGTGTTCGATTGTTTTGAAACTATGGTGTTTTGGGCCTGTGTTTATGACCGAGGAACCACGGGGACCGAGAGGGTTTAAGTGCACCCGAAATACTTAAATAAATTAAGAATCAGTCCAGATGAAACGAAAAATTCATGATCACCGGACAGATTGCTGGAGAAAATCATTTGAGAATGAGGTAAGATGATAATAGAGCAATGGGACGGAAACCTTTGGTTAGAGTGTGGCATTTGCACGGCTCAGTAGTAGGAATGATTGTGATGGGTCACCAGCAATCGGGAGTAGAATACGAGCACAAGATGTGTTGGACAGAGCCCTGTTACAACCGCACTGGCACCTGTCCTCACCGGTCTTCCGCCTGAACTAAGTCAGGTGATGTTCCCTCATTCGACCGGCCAGGCGTTTGATAGTGTAACCTGCGTAATTTGCACCATGGAAGCAAACAAAATGATAGACAAAAAGAACTCACCTCCATCGGTAGCTTGTCCTTCATCTGTGATGGGAGAACTGATTCGGAATATTAGAATCAGTGCAATGCCATTGAGAAATAACTATATTCTTCTACACCCCTCAGTCGGTTGCTCATTGTCCTCGCAAGAATGTCACTTTGAAAGAAATTGAAATGTAAAACTTTTACTTTTCCACCGTTGGATCCTTTGGTTTTGCAATGTAAGCCCTCATATAACGATCGATGAGCTCATCTTGGCATCCATTTTTGGGGAACATTGACTTAACTGTTGCCAATTCATTATCTACTTCGACAGTAGAACAAAGCTTTCTTACACAAATGGCGATACCCTGTTCTAAGCTTTATTTACGCCACATCGGCACAAAACCCTGATAATAGATATATTGTCCTGTCCGCGTATTCTTTCTGTATATGTTTCATCTGAGGCAGCTATCTTCGCATTTTCTTTACGCATTGTCACTAAAGGTGAATAAGTATGCAAGTATTTAAAGGCTGTTGATCCACTGAAGTAATTTTCACGAAATAAGGTTGCATGGACTGGAATGACATACCAAACGAGGATACCGACATTCAAGAAGGATGATAAATGGTCAACTAATTTCATCTTCAGATTCGAGCACTTATGAATAGCTTTTGTGGGCCTTCATTCGAATTTTGAATATGACATGCGTATTCTTCGCCACTTTTTCATACTTGTAATTTTCCTTTCCGTCTCCCCCTTGCTCTCTGTTCGTTCCCTCAGAGAGACAAAACCAAATCATGCTGAGTCTGAACGAGGCCCGAATCCCCGTCCAAATCCCTCTAATCTCAACCGGTGGTGAACGCATTGTTTGCATTCAGCTTCCAACAAGTGAAAAAGGTAAGTTGAACGTTTGCAATACGTCAACTATGGGCGAAAATGTTTGCGGAAGAACGCCCTAGGTTCTTGTTGGATTTGTGCTTCTTTTGGGACAAAACAATAGTACCCAGACGTTAGATGAGCTTCAGTGGTAGACTGCGCATATATATCGATCAACATAGCACATTTATTATGATGATCTGAAGGAATTCCGGTGAACAGGCTTCTCCAATCAAAGATAATTTGCTCCTGCTATAACTATAAGCAACCCTGTTTGAGTCTGTGCTGCTTCTTTATGAACAATTTAACGTGGGGATCACTCGGCAATAAACATTTTGTCCTTTTATTCGGAATTACCTGCGAGTGGCTATGTTTATATCAAGCAACCATAAAGTGGTGTGAACTGTAAACTTCAGTAACTCAGAGAATACCCATCAAACAGCATGATTGAAAATTCTATAGTAATGCGGTAAAAGTATGCTCGATTTACGTTCTGGCAACGCTTGCATGTACATGGTACTTTAAACCGTGATCAATCTCCAGGGAGAATACAGGAACTTATAAACAGCCATTTACTGATAGAAAAAAGAGAAAAATCTGTTTGCCCGTATAATGGGTGTAACCAAATCCAGTAAAAGTCTTAATTTTGCTCAATTTGGAACTTGGCCGCAAAGCCAAAGGTTTTTCTATCGTGTCTCAGCCCTGTCCTGCACGGTGAGGCAACATACATACACATATATATACATAAATATACTGCATTATTTTTTTCCGACCAAATTTCACTGAATTCGAATAGATGTTAAAATTTCATTGTAAACAAATGATATATTGATTACAATAGCGTAAGAATAACCAGCAGAGTTTGCTTAGCTTTGACCTAACAACAGGGCTCAAGTTCGAGTAGCACAATCTGACAGCCTAGAAAGGCTAGACCGTGTGGAAGATGTCCCTCACCATGGCGAATTGCGCGCAACAAGCACCAGGACACATGCGTGCTGTCAGTTCTGTCTTCGAAGTTCACTTTGCCTGTCCTCATGGAACGAATTTACATTTCGCTTTTGGATCTTTCAATGAGCCTAGCGAACACTAGCCCAACAGACTGATGACACGACTGCTTAACAAATTTTAGCTGTCTTTGAGTCCCCAATACTGCAACAGCGTTCGGTGTAAGCAAAATGTGTGTTCTAGTCCGCCATTGATCAAAGTGTTGATTGCACCGCGTGGTCGATTGACTACCCGATAACGAATAACACCACACACGTGCAATCACCTGTCACACTACTGACTGGGCTCATGCCAAAATCGATTCGTTTCAGTCAATCAGAATTTAGTATCGATTCGTAACCGGCTTGGCTGTCATTGATGCCTACTGCTCGATTATATACAATACATACGCCTATTGTTGTTAGTAATTCGTCTGTTTTGCTCACGAATCAGTCCACGGATGTACCTACCCATTTGCATACTATGATGATCATCGTTGTTACTAAATGGATTTATCTGCTTAATCGAGTCCGCTTGCAATTGCGTTCACAGCGGGATGTACCAAAACTCTGATAATATCCTTTTGGTTCTCTCAAGTCGTAACTTTTACGATGACTGGTCACACAGTGAAACAGTTCAATCTGTCCAACAGTTGTTCTAATTTACGATTGTCATGACACGCAAATGGAAACATGTTTTGTCATAGAACTCGTTTACGAACAACATTTGGTTCGTATTTTTGTAGTGTGCATCTGAAGCGATGAACAGTATAGAATATTAGCACACCATAGTCTCCATGGTCTATCATTCGGTAATACAAACCAGCAATCTGATTACTGGATTTCGGCATCCTTTTACAGCCCCCCCCCCTAGGGGGAGCGGGTGTCATTCAACCCGTCATGTAGTCATACAGTCCACTGCCAAAACGGTTGCAGGACTCGCTCATGTCAATTCGTCGGACCTCAAGCTATTTAGTTTATTTTTAAAACCACAAATTGGTTGTCCAAAATAACTTATCCATCCTCTTAGTCTCCAATCCATCTTCCAAATTTCTGTTATGTTCAATTAATGAGCCCAAACTGGTAGTTCCAGGTATCCAGATATCACTATCAAAATGAACCGTTATCAATTTAATTTCTCTCTACATCAATTTAGGATACCATCATATCAGCTCTTCAGCATCAACCAATATCTCATCACTGACAATTCCGACGGATGGATTATGATCACGATCTAAATAGAATTCCTTTCCGTCATCCCTTCTAGTTTGGAGCGAAATTCGTTTAATTGTGACGCGTAGAAAAAAATGATTCGCTGTAGATGAGTATATTTTCTGCATTACTCTGGAATCTATAGTCCGACCGTCAGCTGGACAAGCTTCTTGTTTCAAATGTTTAATGTTAAGTCATAAAAGATACTGTTCGCGGTGGAACAGGACACACAACGCTTCTGAAAAACTATCAGATAAATTGGTTAAACAATGGGTTGCATTTGAGACCAGAGCGGTGGAGTTGGATCTACGGTAGTTCGGCACGCCTAATTCTAATTCTAATTCTATCGAATGAATTTCACCCCCCAGATTGCCCAACTGTCATTCCATTTTCTTTTGGTATTGTAATGAGAACAGACTTTATTCTGGCGTCGGGTAACGCTCATTAACCGAAGCTGGGTTGCTGAAGACGACTCCAAAACAAAACACACATGGTGACTCTATGTGTACCTAAGCTAAAGCTAAGCCCAACTGACTGTGTGTGAGATCGGTAGTAGGAAATCATATATTGAAGATGGTAAACCGTGTTCGGTGAAACGATGTAGTACCTAACCTCANCTAACCTCAGTTTTCTACTGATTTTCAATCCTCCAATCTACAATAATAGCACATCTGACCAGAACGATCGAATACACAGAATTGAACCATGTATGTTGTATAATCTATTCAGAGCTGAAAAAATGAATCCTCTTTTCGGGTTCGCTTGTGTATCAGAAGTGTGGAAAACCAGGCAGTTGGTCTGGACTGTCAATAAGTTGACTAGTTCGATCAGTGAATGTGGGAGTTGATAAATTCATCAGTGTCGGAACCGCGAGATTCGTTTGCACTGGAGTACTTAACGCATCCTAATTGTCCAGTATCTCTCGATAACTTTCACTACAGGATTTCTGTACCCACAATGTCACAAACGGTGAGAATCAAAACTTGCGAGGACCACGAATATTTGCGTTCTACCAAATAGGAATCAGTATGCATGAAATTATGAAGAAACGAAACTTATCTAGAAATGTTTTACGATAGTATGTGAACTGCAGCGAGCCATGTGCGCGAAAAAAGGCGGATATGATATGTCGGAATTCTAATTAACGCGTAATACCCCATCTGGACTTGAGTAATACATGACAGACGTTGACGTACAACGCCTTAATCGGAGCCAGAGCTTCGAAAAGAACCCACGAAAGATGGCCGAAATAAAAACCTCTTATTAAAAAGCGACACTTGTCCCGGACTGAACAAAATGTAGCACGATCGCACAAGTCACGATAATCTAACTCAAAGACGAAAAAGTGCGTCAGACGCCGGGATGATCAAATTCGTTTTCTGGCATAATATCACAAAATAGGAAAGAATTGCGTGTCCAGGATCAGAGCTCAAAGATGCATTGGTAGCCTACGTTTAAAATAATCTAGTTCTACCACTTGAGATCATAAGAGCAGATTTTGCCCCCGCAACTGATCAGGAGACTACACGATGACCCCCATATTGCAGCATGACAATGCTTCTGCCTACTGTTCTGTGAGATCGAAGGCACGAAATACTCAGGCCGCTACCCAGCCTAAAACCCGATTGACAAACGTGTTCATCAGATGCAGTATGTCGAATATGCCTTTTGGAAACATCTTCCCAGCGGTCAGCACCTTACTACTTTGATGCGTGTCAGTAGTTAGTTTTGGTAGTTTCTACCGTTTTCACAAAACTGTAGGTTTTTTGTGTGGGACATTATTTTTAACCAACTGGGACTTTTCTGGTCAATAAAGTTGTCGTCAAGCAAAATTACCGGCCGATATTTTCATATCAGTATATCGGTGGTGGCCCGGTGTAAACGTCACCAAATTATCATTCCGGAGGAGGAGTGTTCGAATCCCACCAACATCGCCTAACTTTTCCCATTTGTGTTTGATGGCAGCCCTTTGATTGGCTCCTTCCTACTTCCTGAAGATTGTATCATTGTATACTCAAAAAAAGAAGTAAAAATGAGAAAAATATTGAGGTATACATTGCGTTAATCTAAGTTCACACCACAGCAACCAGAATGTTCACACATGACAAAACGGCCAAATATCCATTTTGACCTCCTTGTGCATTCACCACATGCATTTTCCGATGGTTTGAACACGTATACAGCGGAACAACATATGACCTCTACAGTATATTGGCAACTGGGTTAGGACGCATTAGCCCCTCCCATCAATAATGTCAAACAGTTTAAATTTAGGGTTTTTAGCGGCGTTTACCACCTTTTTTCAAGAATTGGTGGAAGGCTCATTGTGACATGAACACAGCTAATAAACACACGTTGCGTTATATTCGTCCTCTGACAGAGTGAGTGCATCATTTGATGAAAAGCGACTTGGTATTGCACCTTCGCGTTAGGCACTCTTTCTTCGGTGAAGATTGGAGAGCAAAGTAAAAATGAATATCTCAGTAAAATCGTTGACATGCATCATTATGATGATTGGTCCAGAGGGCCCTCCGTTAACCGATTTCAAACCGTTAACATATGAACTTTATCAACAGCTAAGAGCAGTTCTGATAACTGAAGAGTGGTGTCTATTGTTCTAGTGATAGGATAAAATATGCGCACAGTGTGCCAAACATACCATGCACTGGAGGCATGTACAAATTCTTTCCACTAATGCATAATATCCTTCACCGAGGTTTCGTACAGTTACTCGTGTAGAAAAACGGTGTATAATCAGCGCCAAGTGTGGAAATGTTTCTCTTCCGCTCTGCAACAAAGCTAGAGTTGCCAGCATTTGTTTACATATGTGCTAAATTAAATTGTATCTTTGTGTGATTCAAAGTAACCACCCGGATATCCATTTTCCGTGACTTTTGCTTGAATTGCAATTTAAAAGTCAAATAGTAACCGCCTTTATGCGAGAATGGGTGATTACTGATCAAGGTGTAATCACAGTACTTGTGATATTTATGTTGATAAGTTGTATCAAGGCCTTCAACGCACTATTGGAAAAATCGATTAGAGAGGATCCTCGGCTCTTGTAACCCTTATTTGACACCTATTCTGCTCTAAGTAGAAAAATTGGTATGCCTTGCACACTGTGTATTCCGCCATTCTGACGAGATGTGGAACTGCCATAAATTACAGGATCTGAAACAAGCGGGAAAGTAAGAAGGAGACCCTATATTTTTTCGAGTACTATGGTACACTCTCATTCCTATCAACCACCTACCTATCGCATTCGGCACATTTTGGTAGATCAGTAGCAAGTCTTTGTCCGGAATAAATGGCCCTCTCTTAGTCCGTTTATCACACTTAACCCAAACAGGCAATGACAGAATTAAAAATATAGTCCGACTCGTGAAGCCTCAGCTGATTCAAGCTCTCAAACTCCCCTGACCAAGGGAAGAAAAAATCGTCTGTTCACATCACCATGACGTAACATAGCCACTTTGGTTACGTAATACAAACAGCGCACAAATTCGGAATTCTCTCGGGCTCATTGTCAAACACATGACTCATCCACCTTTCTGTTTAACACTTGAAATTTCAAGTGATTATTGAACTTTCGAGTATCAAGCTTGGATTGGCCCATTCGATGGTTCAGAGGCACCAATCTCTCTTGATTGTCTTGGGTGTGGGTTTCACTCCTTGGAAGATCGTTAATTCCCCACGAGATAATGCATTCAAATGCGATGGAAATATTTATGATAACCAACAAAGAGCACTGGACTGCTGTTTCGTCCTGTTTGGGACTCGTCAGCAGTGCGTACTTATGGTGACCTTGTCAGGACTCGAACCGTGATCAGTCGAGTCGGGACTTCAAACCCTTACCCCTGAGCTACACGGCCGACGATCGTCATCTTGTGCGAATGATTCGATCAATTTAGAGTATTGAAATTGTTTCATATAACTATGATCGTAAAGGCTTGAAATGGAATTTACAGGGACTATATGTTCCCCAACCTTGTGCGTTGTTAATATTCTAGTAGTAAACTTTTGATTGAATGGAAAATTGTGCCAACAGATTTCAATAATCGGAAGGTGTAACCAAACGGCTGACAGAGAACTGATAACTTCGGGTGACACGTGAGGCGTTGTTAAACAAACAATATTCGAAGGCCCGAGGGAAAATGTATACAGTTCACTTTCTTTTTTCTCCGTTTTCACTAGCCGATTCATGCAATAAATGGACAGTTTGTCAAAAATATGTATATATGGTACACAAACTTTAAAATTATTGAACCATACATTAGTTTTGATTGTTGAAATCCGTTTCATTAAACTCCACTAGTTTGTTGCTGTTCGGAATACGAAGGACAATTTACATCTATGTCAAACATCTTGAATGGAATTCGGGGTGAATTCCCTGTTCTCTACTTTCGAGATTTTTTTCAGCATGGTTATATTAGAGAAGAAAACCGCTCAGTAGGCCTTTGCTTTAGGAATAAGTGTACTGTTTTCACAATCTTGGTTGCTTGATCTCAAACAAATACTTTCAGTTTTCCATATTTAACCCTTTTTCACTCAGGAACCGGCCTGCGAACTCACTTCGTTCGTCTTCTACGCTATCTGACGGGAGAAACATGGGATTCCGCAATACCATTGACAGACAATCAGTATTTTGCATTGGGACAACAGACTGCCAGCCTACAGCATGCACTCCGAAAGGTAAAATGGTCAAATGGAATGGCGATCAAACTTGCCTATCTGATAGTGCACTTAAGGGACGAAGATGCTTCCATTAGGGTAACTTACTTAGGGATTCACCTTACAAGATCATAAAATTGGTATCTTTATCTATCAATGGAACAAACCGATTCAAACACCAACCAGAGGAAATCTAATAGTGAGATTAGCCATGAATCAGAGAACGTTAAGCGTAAAACAAAGTTTGCTCACGGGTAGGAAATCTATGCATGGGCTGCACAGTTATTATTGCTAGGGCCTACTGAGATATGAAAATTTTAAAACGAAATCGGAAACTTTAACAAAACCCCGGTATAATGGAAAACTCTGATAGTTCGTGAAATGCCACTCCGTTTGTCAATCTCTAAGTGACATTACTAAAATGCCGTTCTACCTCATTAGCGACTTAGCTCACTGAGGATTGAATGCCAGCGCCAGGGTCTGCGTATTAATTTCTTGTCATTATTGGGTTACCGACTTCCTAAGTTTTCGTTCAAGATTTTTCAGTTGAAAATCTGCAGTTAAAAAGCTGGAACCACTTCAACAGTTCATATAATCTGCATTGTTTCACTCCTCAGGAGCAGGAGTAGATATCATCACCGGACAGGGTACATTCAATGATTTTGAGTTAATCTATGTGTAAATATTCATGGGAAAGTCTGATTGGAACAATGGGAATGCTTTACATGAGAGGAAACATTCAACTTGGCCAAATCAATGCAAAGAATAAAAGGTCACTTGTCGCACTCCGATCTGGAAGAGAAAAGGGGCGAAGGGCATATATACTGGTTGAATCGATAGAGACAGCCATACCATAACAGGGCCACAATGGCCACCTAGTCTTGTTACTTACAGAGGTCTGGTTTCTGGTGCCTATTCGGCATGTCCTCAGTAAACTATGTCAACCGTCCAGTCTTCCATCTTTTATGATCCGAAATGCCTGTCTTGATGGACACATTTTACAGACCAATAAATGGCGGGAAATGGATCTGACGGAAACTTTCGACCCAATCAGCACTATGTTTCCGCAAACGCTTTCTGAGGTCCTAATGGGTAATCGTCTCTCAGTTCTTCCAAAATACTTGCTACCATAAATGTATTGTAAAAGGTACACACGTGGGAAGCGTACTTGGGTGTCTGAATTGTCCAAGCTGGGATTCAGTGAATATTCATTTGATTTTATGGGGAATCGTTAGAGAAGCGGTGCGGTCTGTCCTTAACAGAGCATGTTGTATTGGTTTCGCATCTCTGAAGGTTTGTGTGACGAATGCACGTTTCCTATGTTTGCCACTAACCGCGAAACAGTAATCTACTTTTGTAATCTAGTTGACTACTAATGGCCATTGCTAGTTGTGGAATTTCTAAAATTCTATCTGGGCACAAAAAGACTTCCGCCGAATATCGGTCAACTCCGAGTTGGAGAGTAAACTACCTCTGGCCTACTTTGATTGCAACCCTCCGAAGGTCGGAATGATTCGATCAGGTTAACAAAGAATTTGGTACCAGTTACGAGAAACCTGATAGTCATTTCATGTTTGGTATCTTTGCCGGTTTTATGTTGCGTCATTAATAAGGAGCATCAGTTTATTGGGATGAAAATGCTCCAAACATGATTTTCACAAATCCGGTAGTCAATAAGAGAAAATAGCACTTAGTATGTGCGAATACTAATGAGATTACGAGAAGCAGAACAGTTGCCAAGAGAGAATTCTTCATACAGACGCAAAGGTCAGACGACTTCAGTCTTTTTTTGTCTAAATGTACGCTGTGTAGAAACGTGGCTGTTGGACAAATTCTCCCAAGGACACCGTTTCAATCCCGAGAAATTAGACACGTGAGATGACCAACGCGCTCCCACACAGAGACAAAGAAGGATAGTGAAGTGGCTAGGTTTCGGGGCAATATTATACAGTAGGTATTGTTTGTTCGATCGGGGGTATTCATTTCGAGTCTTGGTTCTACTGGAAGAATCTGAACGTAGATACTGTGTACAACTGGTTAATGGCTACTTTTAACAGCTGATCCAAATTTTAGGTCTGACTGCACAATGAAGGGATGGGATATCCAATCAATGAATATAGTCATTTTAGTTCTGATTTAGACTTCATATTTGACGAAAACGGAATCGACAAAATTTCATAATTCTTGGACCCATTTGTTATTCTGTCATTCTGTTCGCACAGATTGTCACACAACTGGATTCGCCAATCGAGGAGCACGATTGGGTGTTGATTAATGCGCCTAAACAACTTGATCGTATCAATATATTTGCAAACAGGCATCAACATGAGCTCGTTCAAGACGTTCTGATGCGGTTCAAAACGGAATATGCTCCTCGACTTAGTGGAAGTGTGAATAAGTGGTCCAGTAGTGTGGAAGATGAAGAATTTCCCATCAGTAAGTGTTTCTTTCTGAAAAAAACATCTTATTGAACATATGCGGGTAAAATTAAGTGCAAATAAAAGATAACTTCAGTGAAGTATTCAGAACAATTAAGTGAAAACTTCATGAGGTATGTAATAAGAGATCGGGTTGTTTTAGCCCTCCTTTATTTAACTCTTAGACTTGAATGCGAATACACATAACCCGACACCAACTTCTCACTTTGGTGAAATTAANAACTCAGTGCTAAAATATTTCTAAGCAAACTGCACAGATTTATCTTCGAAAAATCTTTTTCTGATAAAATGATCATGATATCCGTGTGACTGAGAAAATTTCTGTACAAAATTGACAGACGACTGGGCAAAAATTTCAGTTCACCTTAGTAAACATAATAAATGCCGGTACTAGTGACCACTACTTAAGTTTGGTATCATTGTGGTCGGAGAACTGGTTCAATCACAGAAAATTATATCAAAAAATTAGCGACTACTTAGTTGTCCAATCTGCTCGGTAGATCTGTGTAATTCCAGGCACAAAGTGCGCTTCGCTATCCGGCTGATTACCNACCGTTATTGACATTTCGGGAAAAGGAGTACTAGGAAAGCAGTTTTGTGCGTGCAGAGCCGGAGTGTACGCGGAATGGCCAGCAAAACTGCACTTCATCTCATAAGCGATCTCGAGTTCGGAACTACCTAAACCGCGTTAAGTATTCGGTAAGTAAACGCAGATAGAAGATATTGATTTATCTAACCTGGATTGTGGATGGCGTGACACCACCGATTCCGTTGGCTCGTAGATGTGAAACTCAACCAACCTCACCGCATTAAAAACTTGTCCACTGGGTAAAAAATCAAGTCAGGAGTTATTGGCCTACTGTTTCCCACTACCTAAACAAAGCACTCTTGTTTCTAATCAAATATCCCCGGCATCGAAATGCTTCGTTTCGTGTTCAATAACTCACTTCAAGTCCAAAGCGTATATGGATTTATGTGATAGTACCGAGGTAATCTAATCAGGATGGAGTGTGTAAGCGACCAGTACTACGCGAAAAAAATGTGAGGCGTCTTAATATTGAGGTACAATGAAGTGATACAACGCCTTATGTAATAGGGCATTAATCGCATAAAGCTGTAACCTGTTGCTGCTGGTTAATTCTCCGAAGGCGCACTGATGATGTTGCCTAGCTTAGCTACGAAACGCCTGCGAACAACACTCCCAGCTCGGAGAACTCAACAACAACAACAACATCCGCATCCCGAGTTACTATCATTCCATTTCATTTCCAAATTTACAACTTGCGGTAAGGTTAAACAATAAGTAATATGGTAATATGGTATACAATCTACTGACTATCTCTCTTTCTATCCCAATTCTCTGCATAGCACTTATCCACGGTGACCTGAACAATTTTAACATTCTTCTTCAGTCCAAAGAAGAAAACGAATCTCAGAAAGCCGTGTCATATGGCTTTTTGGACTGGGAAGACGCTGCAATATCACGTCGTTCTTACGATTTGGCCATTTTACTAATGTACATGCTGTGTGCAGAGAATCCACAGGAAAGAGATGTGATTCGGTTGGGGTCGGTGATCATGGCCGGTTTTCAGGATCAGGCCACTCGTGATGGATGGCCCTTGACCGTGAGTGAGCTGAACGCACTGACCACTTTCACGGCGGCCAGATTTGCTCAGTCACTGACCAATGCCGAGTACACTTACCGAGTACAATGCCCAGGAAACGACTATGTGTTACTCACGGAAAAACAAGGCGGATGGTCTAAACTGCAAGATTTATGGATCACAAGGAAAATGGAATATCAAACGGCGTGGAGTAGATCAGATTTGAACATCTAAATACAAAAAATATCTCTGAAGT